ATATATATATATATATATATATATATATATATATGTATGTATATATATATACTGTATGTTGAAATGTGTTTTTTATTACAAAATATATAAAAAATATTTTCAAAAATACATTTTCAAATACACCGTATGTCTTTAAAAATACATTTAATCTACATTTTTGGAATGCATTTATAAATATATGTAAAAATGTTAAAATGACTTTTTTATATGTAAAAAAAAATCTAAAGAATATTTTTTCAAAAATATATTTTTAAAAATATTTTTCATATATTTTGTAATATATTAAAAAAACGCATTTCAACATGCAGTATATATATAAATTGAAATATATTTTGAAATAATAATAATTGTAGTATTTCAAATATATGTCAATATATTTGGGAGCATTTTTTTTTTTACATATTTAAAATATATTTTTCTTCCATGTGGGCAATGGCAGAGAAATTGGCACTGTTCTGGTCACAGTTACTCACTGAAAGATTACGATGGCCAAGAATAGCGGAAGGTCATACGAAGGGTATTGCGGCAACCGTATTTTAAAAATATATTTCGTATATATTTTTTCTTCCATGTGGGTGGATCTACAAATTGAAATATCAACAGGCTTCCAATAGAGGTAGTGAGTCACTGAACACTTTTGGGTCTATTTATGATAAAAATTTGCACAGCCATCACGAATACTCCCCAAAATATTTCTAATATGTGAATTTCCCGATGACTGCCAGCTCCATCTAGTGGGCATAATGTGGTATTTACCTGATCGCAGTACTTCAAGAAAACACCTCATTATGGCCACTAGATGGAGCTGGCGATCGTAGGAAATACACAGATTAGGCGCATTATGGGGATTATTTTTTTATAAATGGATCTAAAAAATTGAAAATAATTGGGGGGGGGGGGGGGGAAGAAGAGAGGGGATGTGACTGAATAGTAATGTTGATATTTATGTATTTATGTTTTTTGTTATATATGTTGTAAAAATTTTTATATAAAGGAAAATTAATAATAAAAGAGATAATAAATAACCTAAAAAAAAAAAAAAAAAAAAAAATCTAAAAAAAAATAAAAACAAAAAAAATCAAAAAGGGGCAGACTGGATGGACCTCTTGGACCTTTTCTGCTGCCTCTCTACAATTATCGTCTTCCAGAAGGAAAACACTTTAAATCTCCCAGTTGGTTGACTCGTCGGGTTCTCCATCCCACCCCCGAGTAGACGGCAATCTTGACGCCGCCAAAAGCTTCTACTTCAGCCTCTTGAAGAGATTTGCAATTTTCTGTGAGAGGTAAGAAGAAGAGGGCAGCGAGAACATTAGCCGTTTCTCAGCTCCGAGCGGCTCCTGAGTCTTCCTCTATAAATAGTCGGGAGTGCCAGACGCGTCTTCCCAAAGCCGACATCCTGCAAAGCGCCACCGAGAGAAGACGCATCCCGCCGCGGCTCATTAGAAGACCCGTGGGACGCCGGGACCATCGATATCTCCAGCCTCTCCAAAAGCCACGTGAGCGTTCTTCCAGGGGTGGACTGACCATTTGAGCACTCGGGCACTGCCCGAGGGCCCGGGTTCAGTAGGGGGCCCGATGAGATGCCCCTGGTACCTTTCATTGGCTTTTTCATAGGCTTTTTTGGGTATGGGCCCCATGATCCCCTATTGCCCGGGGGCCCCATGACTTGTCAGTCCGCCCCTGTGCTCCTCTCTTTAAAGTGGAGCTCCGGGGGAACAGACGATCAAACAGGATTGTTCATTCTGCTCGGCCCGTCTTGTGATTTAGACTCCCCTGCCAGATGGTATAGCCAGGTCGATCACCTTTCTATTCTTTTCCACTGTGAGCTGTCTGCTGGGACACGTTTATTGGCTGGGATGAATTATCGTCCTATGAGATAAGAGTCTTCTTTAACCCCCCCCCTTCCCCTCTCCTCCCTCCCCTTCCCCCCCCCCCCCATACCGATCTGCAGGTCTGTAGAGTGATCTCTCCATAGAAAGGTCTCTGGAGGCTGGATGGGGAACGCTCAGCCTTCGGATGCCTTCCTGGCTCAATCCTTGTCAATGTCTTATTGATTATTGAAGGCACCTAACCAGGGGCGGACTGACAACTCATGGGGCCCCGGGCAATAGGGGATCATGGGGCCCCTGTGTCCTCACCCACACTCAAACCACACCCAAAAAAGCCTACAAAAGGTACCAGGGGCATCTCATGGGGCCCACTACTGACCCAGGGCCCAAGGGCAGTGCCCGAGTTTCCGAATGGTCAGTCCGCCTCTGCACCTAACCTACACACAGGGGATCAATACATTCCGATCAATCAGCTGCACCACTCCAAGCAATTCGCCTTCAATCCAGAGGTTTTCCCCCCGCAGTACTATTTTTCAGCCACTAAATGTCCTCAGTCTAACGTCTAGTATCAGTCAACCTGCTTCCTCTGAGCCCAGGTCATCATAGATCCACCTTCAGCCTGTGGCCAGACCCCTGGTGCCCTTCTTGTGACCCAGAGGAAACTTGCAACCCTTTGGCACTTTCTGTGCTGCCCTAGGCCTCCTGCAGACACTAATATATTTTTCCCTATTGTCTTCTTATAGCGGTGATCTCTAGCAGTCTCACAAATTGGGTCTCCAGTCTATGTCTCCTGAAACGTGTTCCCAGTCTCCAACAACTCCTATAACATGTTCCCAGCCTCTGACCCTCTCCTGTACTATGTCTGCAGTCTCTGACCATCTCCTGTACTATGTCTGCAGTCTCTGACCATCTCCTGTACTATGTCTGCAGTCTCTGACCATCTCCTGTAGTATGTCTGCAGTCTCTGACCGTCTCCTGTAGTATGTCTGCAGTCTCTGACCGTCTCCTGTAGTATGTCTGCAGTCTCTGACCGTCTCCTGTAGTATGTCTGCAGTCTCTGACCATCTCCTGTACTATGTCTGCAGTCTCTGACCGTCTCCTGTAGTATGTCTGCAGTCTCTGACCGTCTCCTGTAGTATGTCTGCAGTCTCTGACCGTCTACTGTAGTATGTCTGCAGTCTCTAACCATCTCCTGTAGTATGTCTGCAGTCTCTGACTGTCTCCTGTAGTATGTCTGCAGTCTCTGACTATCTCCTGTACTATGTCTGCAGTCTCTGACCATCTCCTGTAGTATGTCTGCAGTCTCTAATAGTCTCCTGTAGTATGTCTGCAGTCTCTGACCGTCTCCTGTACTATGTCTGCAGTCTCTGACCGTCTCCTGTACTATGTCTGTAGTCTCTGACCATCTCCTGTACTATGTCTGCAGTCTCTGACCATCTCCTGTACTGTGTCTGTAGTCTCTGACCATCTCCTGTACTGTGTCTGCAGTCCCTGACTATCTCCTGTACTATGTCTGCAGTCTCTGACCATCTCCTGTACTATGTCTGCAGTCTCTGACCATCTCCTGTACTATGTCTGTAGTCTCTGACCATCTCCTGTACTATGTCTGCAGTCTCTGACCATCTCCTGTACTATGTCTGTAGTCTCTGACCATCTCCTGTACTATGTCTGTAGTCTCTGACCGTCTCCTTACTATGTCTGCAGTCTCTGACCATCTCCTGTACTATGTCTGTAGTCTCTGACCATCTCCTGTACTATGTCTGCAGTCTCTGACCATCTCCTGTAGTATGTCTTAAAGATATGTACGTCTTTGTATGAGATACAATATAACAATTCTAGAGATCACTTGGGGTGGTAGAGTCCATCAAGTTGGATTTCTTCCAAAAGATAGCCTGGTCAGGAAGAGGAGGGGAAATCCTCTGGCAGGGTTGGGTTGTCCATGTACCACAAGGACTCGGACCCTCTGAATTTTTTTCCTTGTTTCTTTTAGGCTTGAGTCAGCCTCTACTCACAGTAGTCACATTGATCTCTAGGGGGTGGGGGGGGGGGGGTTTAGGGCTTACCTTGCAGGCCAGGTTCTCGGCTAGTGACACCATGGAGTTCTTGAAGAGCGTAGCAGCTGTCAGGGGTCTCTTGGTCACCTCGCTGATACTCAACTGTCCATCCGGCCACATGTCCTTCAGAACGGGGTCTTTGCTGGAAGAGAGGACAGGCTTAGAACCAATCACACCACAATACCTATAGTAGCAATACTATCCACTCATCTTGGACCAAGTATGGATGTGCCTTGCCTGGCCAATTGAAGTAGAAGCTGGAAATCACTGTAGTAGACGCCACTACTACACCACTACTACAGTGATCTCCATTAGCTTCTGGGTCCCAAAAGTACATCCCAGGTAGACCAAAGCAAAAGGGGAGCAGTTTTTTTTTTTTTAAGAAAGCAGCCACAGCCTGAGTAGAAAAGCCTGTCGCAGCCAGCATGCTGTGGAGATGCACCCCTGTTGTATGAAAGCAGTGGTCTCTCTACAGAGGTCCAACTTGCTCCCTGGTGAGTCAAACCTACAACTTTGTCTACTGAGGAGAGCAGAGCAGTCACTCTCTATGTACAGCACCTTGAAGAAGTCTCCTCCCCCACCTTGAAATGCCCCCCCCCATGTTGTCAATTTACAATGTATTCCCCTCCCCCCTGAAATGTCCCCCGTGTTGTCATGTTACAATGTATCCCCCCCCCACGTTGTCATGTTACAATGTATCTATTGGGATTGGATGTGATGGACCGACACAAAGTGGCACATAATTGTGAAGTGGAAGGAAAATGAGAAATGGTTTCCAACATTTGTGACCAATAAATCTGTGAAAAGTGTGGCGGCATTTGTATTCGGCCCCCCCGGAGTCAATACTTTTTAGGACCCCCTTTGGCTGCAATTCCAGCTGCAAGTCTTTTTGGGGATGTCTCTTTGCACATCTAGAGAGGGACATTTCTGCCCGTTCTTCTTTGCAGAATCCCTCAAGCTCTGTCAGATTGGATGGAGAGCGTCTGGGAACAGCAATTTTCAGGTCTGGCCACAGATTCTCCATTGGATTTGGGTCTGGACTGTGACTGGGCCATTCTAACACATGAAGATGCTTTGATCGGAACCATTCCATTGTAGCTCTGGCTGGATATTTCGGGTCGTTGTCCTGCTGGAAGGGGAACCTCCGCCCGGTCTCAGGTCTTCTGCAGACTCTAACAGGTTTTCTTCTAAGATCGCCCTGTATTTGGCTCCATCCATCTTCCCATCAACTCTGACCAGCTTCCCTGTCCCTGCTGAAGAAAAGCATCCCTACCACATTATGCTGCCACCACCATGTTTCACGATGGGGATGGTGTGTTCAGGATGATGTGCAGTGTTAGTTTTCCCCCACACATCGCGTTTTGATTTTAGGCCAAAAAGTTGAATTTTGGTCTCCTCTGACCAGAGCCCCTTCTTCCACATGTTTGCTGTGTCCTCCACATGGCTTCTCGCAAACTGCAAACGGGACTTCTTATGGCTTTTTTTTCAACACTGGCTTTCTTCTTGTCACTCTTCCATGAAGGCCAGATTTGTGGAGTGCACAACTAATAGTTGTCCTGAGGACAGATTCTCCCACCTGAGCTGTGGATCTCTGAAGCTCCTCCAGACTTCCCATGGGCCTCTTGGCTGCTTCTCTTGATGAATGTTCTCCTTGCTCGGCCTGTCAGTTTAGGTGGACGGCCATGTCTTGGTAGGTTTGCAGTTGTGCCGTACTCTTTCCATTTTCGGATGATGGATTGAAGAGTGTCTAGTGTAGTTTTCTAAGCTTGAGTTTTTTTTATAACCTAACCCTGCTTTAAACTTCTCCACAACTTTATCCCTGACCTGTCTGGTGTGTTCCTTGGCCTTCATGATGCTGTTTGTTCACTAATGTTCTCTAACAAACCTCTGAGGGCTTCAAGGAACAACTGTATTTATACTGAGATCACATGACACACAGGTGGACTCTATTTACTAATGAAGTGACTTCTGAAGGCAATTGGTTCCACTAGATTATAGTTAGGGATATCAGAGTAAAGGGGGCTGAAAACAAATGCCGCCACACTTTTCAGATATTTATTTATAAAAAATGTTGAAAACCATTTCTCATTTTCCTTCCACTTCACAATTATGTGCCACTTTGTGTTGGTCTATCACATCCAATCCCAATAAATACATTTACATTTTTGGTTGTAACATGACAAAATATGGAACATTTCAAGGGGGGGGGGAGGGTGTACATCATCAGCACAGCCTTAGTTCTCCATGTTGGGGCCCCTCTTGGATCTATCTGGCCCTCTTTAGCAGGTACCAGGTGTACATCAGTAGCACAGCCTCGGTTCTTCATATTGGGGCCCCTCTTGGATCTATATAGCCCTGTATAGTAGGTACCAGGTGCACATCAGCAGCACAGCCTCGGTTCTCCATGTTGGGGCTCCTCTTGGATCTATCTGGCCCTCTTTAGTAAGTACCAGGTGTACACCAGCAGCACAGCCTCGGTTCTCCATGTTGGGGCTCCTCTTGGATCTATCTGGCCCTCTTTAGTAAGTACCAGGTGTACACCAGCAGCACAGCCTCGGTTCTCCATCTTGGGGCCCCTCTTGGATCTATCTGGCCCTCTTTAGCAGGTACCAGGTGTACATCAGTAGCACAGCCTCGGTTCTTCATATTGGGGCCCCTCTTGGATCTATATAGCCCTGTATAGTAGGTACCAGGTGCACATCAGCAGCACAGCCTCGGTTCTCCATGTTGGGGCTCCTCTTGGATCTATCTGGCCCTCTTTAGTAAGTACCAGGTGTACATCAGCAGCACAGCCTCGGTTCTCCATGTTGGGGCTCCTCTTGGATCTATCTGGCCCTCTTTAGTAGTAAGTACCAGGTGTACACCAGCAGCACAGCCTCGGTTCTCCATCTCGGGGCCCCTCTTGGATCTATCTGGCCCTCTTTAGCAGGTACCAGGTGTACATCAGCAGCACAGCCTCGGTTCTCCATCTTGGGGCCCCTCTTGGATCTATCTGGCCCTCTTTAGCAGGTACCAGGTGTACATCAGCAGCACAGCCTCGGTTCTCCATGTTGGGTCCCCTCTTGGATCTATCTGGCCCTCTTTAGTAGGTACCAGGTGTACATCAGTAGCACAGCCTTGGTTCTCCATGTTGGGGCCCCTCTTGGATTTATCTGGCCCTCTTTAGTAGGTACCAGGTGTACACCAGCAGCACAGCCTCAGTTCTCCGTGTTGGGGCCCCTCTTGGATCTATCTGGCCCTCTGTAGTAAGTACCAGGTGTACATCAGCAGCACAGCTAAAGTTCTCCATGTTGGGGCCTCTCTTAGATCTATCAAGCCCTCTTTAGTAGGTAGCAGGTATACACCAGCAGCACAGCCTTGGTTCTCCTTGTTGGGACCCCTCTTGGATCTATCTGGCCCTCTATTTAGTAGACACCAGATGCATGTGTAGCCACGTGCTGGACTACAGCAATATGGAGGAAGAAGACATTGCCTTTTATTCTACTCTTCCTCTACTGAGATGTTGTGCTGCACTATTCTCCTCCGGCCAGCAAGAGGAGAGCTCAAGCCAAGCAAGCCCATAGACTTCTAAGCAGAGCACTGCGAATGCTGGGAGTTGTGGTTTGAGATGACAGCTTCTGTTCTCCATGTTGGGGCCCCTCTTGGATCTGTCTGGACCTCTGTAGTAAGTACCAGGTGTACATCAGCAGCAAAGCTAAAGTTCTCCATGTTGGGGCCCTTCTTGGATCTATCTAGCCCTCTTTAGGAGGTACCAGGTGTACATCAGTAGCGCAGCTAGCGTTCTTCATGTTGGGGCCCCTCTTGGATCTATCTAGTCCTCTTTAGTAGGTACAAGGTGCACATCAGCAGCACAGCCTTGGTTCTCCATATTGGAGCCCCTCTTGGATCTATTTGGCTCTCTTTAGTAGGTACCAGGTGTATATCAGCAACACAGCTAGGGTTCTGCATGTTGGGGCCCCTCTTGGATCTATCTAGCCCTCTTTAGGAGGTACCAGGTGTACATCAGTAGCGCAGCTAGCGTTCTTCATGTTGGGGCCCCTCTTGGATCTATCTAGTCCTCTTTAGTAGGTACAAGGTGCACATCAGCAGCACAGCCTTGGTTCTCCATATTGGAGCCCCTCTTGGATCTATTTGGCTCTCTTTAGTAGGTACCAGGTGTATATCAGCAACACAGCTAGGGTTCTGCATGTTGGGGCCCCTCTTGGATCTATCTGGCCCTCTTTAGTAGACACCAGATGCATGTGTAGCCAGGTGCTGGACTACAGCAATATGGAGGAAGAAGACATTACCTTTTATTCTACTCTTCCTCTACTGAGATGTTGTGTTCCACTATTCTCCTCCGGCCAGCAAGGGGAGAGCTCCAGCCAAGCAAGCCCATAGACTTCTAAGCAGAGCACTGCGAATACTGGGAGTTGTGGTTTGAGATGACAGTCATATAGTGGGACGAACAGGCTCCATACACTACAGATCCCAATAGGCACTGTGCCGTAGGAGGAGTGGAAGGATGATTTTTATTAAACTGCCCAGGAAAGCTTTTCCTTTTGGAGCCAAGGGAGTCGATGAGAGTACATCTGCCGCATACTGACTATACTACTGAGAGGCCAGACCAGCAGAGACACCCAAGGCAGTGTAGCACAGACTGCAGTGATCGCATGTGCACTGCTTCCCACTGCTGAATCTCCTGAACCTTTCTGTGGTTAGACTGAGGGGGCCCCCCTTCTACAGCAAGAGGTCACCGCAGCATCCTGGGGACAGATGAGGGGGCTATTTGGGGATTGCTGATACTGCTAGCTCAGAGCTACTCAGAGCAGGACACCAAGCGTACCTAACCTTTACTGCACTCCATACCGCACCTATTCCAACCCTATACCGCATTATACCAAACCTTTACACATCTTAACCACATCTACCTTGCACCTGCGCCTATACTGTACCTATAATGCATGCAGGTTAACTGGGACTGTTGTTAAGCGCACTGATGCTCTTAAAGGGCCCCAACGATAGCCGGCAGAAGAACATCTGACTACTGAGAGGCCAGACCAGCAGAGACACCCAAGGCAGTATAGCAAAGACTGCAGTGATCGCATGTGCACTGCTTCCCACTGCTGAATCTCCTGAAGCTTTCTGTGGATAGACTGAGGGGGCCCCCCTTCTACAGCAAGAGGTCACCGCAGCAACCCATACTGCACTCTATACCCCACCTATTCCAACTCTATACCGCATTATACCAAACCTTTACACATCTTAACCACATCTACCTTGTACCTGCGCCTATACTGTACCTATAATGCATGCAGGTTAACTGGGACTGTTGTTAAGTGCACTGATGCTCTTAAAGGGCCCCAACGATAGCCGGCAGAAGAACATCTGACTACTGAGAGGCCAGACCAGCAGAGACACCCAAGGCAGTATAGCAAAGACTGCAGTGATCGCATGTGCACTGCTTCCCACTGCTGAATCTCCTGAAGCTTTCTGTGGATAGACTGAGGGGGCCCCCCTTCTACAGCAAGAGGTCACCGCAGCATCCTGGGGATAGATGAAAGGGCAATTTGGCGATTGCTGATACTGATAGCTCAGAGCTACTCAGAGCAGGACACCAAGCGTACCCAACGCATACTGCACTCTATACCCCACCTAATCCAAACCTAGACTGCACCTATACCAACCCTATACCGCATTATACCAAACCTTTACGCATCTTAACCACATCTACCTTGCACCTGCGCCTATACTGTACCTATAATGCATGCAGGTTAGCGTGCGACTGTTGTTAAGCGCACTGATGCTCTCAAAGGGCCCCAACAATAGCCGGCAGAACGTCTCAAAAGACTGCCTTTCCCGTAATAATTATTCTGCAAGCCTCCTTTGTTCCCCTACCCCCTCTGCTATCATCCTCTTTTCCTTTTGGACGGTGCCTGCCCAGCCTGGGACTTGCTTCGCCACCATAAATGCTGTCTGGCGGTATAGTTCCAGCGCTAGGTAGAATAAACTTTACCTCTGCTCACTGCTCGTCTAATCCTTAGTGGTAATCACTTTGTAGGCTAAATTGTGCCATTACCATTTTTGGTCCATTAAATGCTTGCCTAGTTACCAACCACATTGGGTGACAATATATTCCATTTACAGTGTCTGTTTCCTTCAATAGAGCGCTACTACTTGGGTACTAGAAGGTCTGAGGTTCTTGAGAAGATTGTGGAAAAGAACGGAGGACCCATCCTATCCAACATCTTCTACGCGGGGGGGGTAACACTACACATGTCAGTAACACAGCCCCGGTTCTCCATGTTGAGGCCCCTCATGAATCTATTGGGCTCTCTTTAGGAGATAGCAGGTGCATGTCATAATCACAGCCTCAGTTCTTCATGTTGGAGCCCCTCTTGGATCGATTGGGCCCTCTTTCATAGATATCAGGTGCATGTCGTCAGCATGATCCTGGTTCTACATGTTGGGGTCCCTCTTGAATCTATCAGGCCCCCTGTAGTAGATATCAGGTGCATGTCATCAGCATGACCCTGGTTTTCCATGTTGGAGCCCCTCTTGGATCGATCGGACCCCCTTTAGTAGATATCAGGTGTATGTCATCGTCATGGCCCTGGTTCTTCATGTTGGGGTCCCTCTTGGATTGATCAGGCCCTCTTTAGTGGGTATCAGGTGCATCTCATTCACAGCCTCAGTTCTCCATGTTAGGGCCCTTCTTGAATCTATTGGGCCTTCTTTAGTAGATATCAGGTGCATATCATAAGCATGGCCCTGGTTCTCCATGTTGGGGTTCCTCATGAATCTGTTGGGCCTCCTTAGTAGATATCAGGTGCATGTCATAATCACACCCTCAGTTCTTCATGTTGGAGCCCCTCTTGGATCGATTGGGCCCCCTTTCATAGATATCAGGTACATGTCATCAGCATGGTTCTGGTTCCCCATGTTGGGATCCCTCTTGAAACTATCAGGCCCCCTGTAGTAGATATCAGGTGCATATCATCAGCATGGCCCTGGTTCTCCATGTTGGGGTGCCTCTTGGATCTACCGGCCCCCCTTTAGTAGACATTAGGTGCATGTTATAAGCATGGCTCTGGTTCTCTATGTTGGGGCCCCTCTTGGATCTATCTGGCCCCCTTTTAGTAGATATCAGGTGCATGTCATCAACACGACCCTGGTTCTTCTTGTTGGGGCCCCAGTTGGATCTTTCGAGTCCCCTTTAGTAGATATCAGATGCATGTCATAAGCAGGGCCCTGGTTCTCCATGTTGGGCGGCTCTTGTATCTATGGAGCCCCCTTTAGTAGATATCAGGTGCATGTCATGAGCATGGCCCTGGTTCTGCATGTTGGGGTGCCCCTTGGATCTACTGGGCCCCCTTTAGTAGATATCAGGTGCCTGTCATCAGCATGGCCCTGGTTCTCCATGTTGTGGTGCCTCATGTATCTATCGGGCCCCCTTTAGTAGATATCAGGTGCATGTCATAAGCATGGCCCTGGTTCTCCATTTTGGGCGGCTCTTGTATCTATCGGGCCCCATTTAGTAGATATCAGGTGCATGTCATCAGCACGACCCTGGTTCTTCATGTTGGGGCTCCTCTTGGATCTTTCGGGCCCCCTTTAGTTAATCTCAGCTGTATGTCAGCAGCACAGACTCCCACGGTCATCACAGAGGTCATCACAGAGGACAAGGGGGCGCTCTTTACGTCTGGAGGAAAAGAAATGTCATCTCCAAACACGGAAAGGTTTCTTCACAGTAAGAGCTGTGAGAATGTGGAATAGACTCCCTCAAGAGTTGGGTGTGGCCAGCTCAGTGGATTGCTGTAGGAAAGTCCTGGATCCTTTCTTGGATACACAGAATATAACTGGATATAACATTTATAGGGAAAGTTGATCCAGGGAATATCCGATTGCCTCTCGGAGGATCAGGAAGGAATTTTTCCCCTGTAGGAGCAAATTAGATCGTGCTTTGCTGGGTTTTTTGCCTTCCTCTGGATCCACCGTGGGTGTAGGATTATAACTTTTTTTTTTTTAATGGTTGAACTGGATGGACTTTTGTCTTTTTTCAGCCAGACTAATTATGTATGTGAATGCAGCACCCCAATTCTGGTTCACACTCTTATTTCCAGCACCAGTCTGACGTCAGACGGATAAAGCCGAATAATTATCTGCAGACACGTTCCGGAAATAACTCATCACATGGCAGAGTGTTTTATATCCAGATCTGAGCCGTGCGATCCACGAGCCTCCGGCTGGGAAGAGAACATATTGAACATTTTGTATTATTCGCTGTCATTTTTCCCTCATGAAGGTGAAGCCGGGTTTATTTATAATCAGCAACACCGCGGGGGTCTGTTTCTTAAAAAAAACTGACGTTCATCCAGCCAGATCTTCCTGTCAATGGGGAAATACGGTTTTTTGCCTTTTTTTCTATAACTTAACCACTAGCCCACTGGGCACTTCTACCCCCTTCCCGCCTACAGGACACTTCTACCCCCTTCCTGCCTACAGGACACTTCTACCCCCTTCCTGCCTACAGGGCACTTCTACCCCCTTCCTGCCTACAGGACACTTCTACCCCCTTCCTGCCTACAGGACACTTCTACCCCCTTCCTGCCTACCGGGCACTTCTACCCCCTTCCTGCCCACCGGGCACTTCTACCCCCTTCCTGCCTACCGGGCACTTCTACCCCCTTCCTGCCCACCGGGTACTTCTACCCCCTTCCTGCCCACCGGACATTTCTACCCCCTTCCTGCCTACCGGCCACTTCTACCCCCTTCCTGCCTACCGGGCACTTCTACCCCCTTCCTGTCTACAGGACACTTCTACCCCCTTCCTGCCTACTGGCCACTTCTACCCCCTTCCTGCCTACCGGGCACTTCTACCCCCTTCCTGCCTACAGGACACTTCTACCCCCTTCCTGCCTACAGGGCACTTCTACCCCCTTCCTGCCTACAGGGTACTTCTACCCCCTTCCTGCCCACCGGGCACTTCTACCCCCTTCCTGCCTACCGGGCACTTCTACCCCCTTCCTGCCCACCGGCCACTTCTACCCCCTTCCTGCCTACAGGGTACTTCTACCCCCTTCCTGCCTACCGGACACTTCTACCCCCTTCCTGCCTACCGGGCACTTCTACCCCCTTCCTGCCCACCGGGCACTTCTACCCCCTTTCTGACTACAGGGCACTTCTACCCCCTTCCTGCCTACAGGGCACTTCTACCCCCTTCCTGCCTACAGGACACTTCTACCCCCTTCCTGCCCACCGGGCACTTCTACCCCCTTCCTGCCTACAGGACACTTCTACCCCCCCTTCCTGCCTACCGGGCACTTCTACCCCCTTCCTGCCTACAGGGCACTTCTACCCCCTTCCTGCCTACAGGGCACTTCTACCCCCTTCCTGCCTACAGTACACTTCTACCCCCTTCCTGCCTACCGGGCACTTCTACCCCCTTCCTGCCTACAGGGTACTTCTACCCCCTTCCTGCCTACCGGACACTTCTACCCCCTTCCTGCCTACAGGGCACTTCTACTCCCTTCCTGCCTACCGGGCACTTCTACCCCCTTCCTGCCTACAGGGTACTTCTACCCCCTTCCTGCCTACAGGGTACTTCTACTCCCTTCCTGCCTACAGGGCGCTTCTACCCCCTTCCTGCCTACAGGGCACTTCTACCCCCTTCCTGCCTACAGGACACTTCTACCCCCTTCCTGCCTACAGGGCACTTCTACCCCCTTCCTGCCTACAGGACACTTCTACCCCCTTCCTGCCTACAGGGCACTTCTACCCCCTTCCTGCCTACCGGGCACTTCTACCCCCTTCCTGCCTACAGGGCACTTCTACCCCCTTCCTGCCTACCGGGCACTTCTACCCCCTTCCTGCCCACCGGGCACTTCTACCCCCTTCCTGCCTACCGGGCACTTCTACCCCCTTCCTGCCCACCGGGTACTTCTACCCCCTTCCTGCCCACCGGACATTTCTACCCCCTTCCTGCCTACTGGCCACTTCTACCCCCTTCCTGCCTACTGGGCACTTCTACCCCCTCCCTGTCTACAGGACACTTCTACCCCCTTCCTGCCTACTGGCCACTTCTACCCCCTTCCTGCCTACCGGGCACTTCTACCCCCTTCCTGCCTACAGGACACTTCTACCCCCTTCCTGCCTACAGGGCACTTCTACCCCCTTCCTGCCTACAGGGTACTTCTACCCCCTTCCTGCCTACAGGGTACTTCTACCCCCTTCCTGCCTACCGGACACTTCTACCCCCTTCCTGCCTACCGGGCACTTCTACCCCCTTCCTGCCCACCGGGCACTTCTACCCCCTTTCTGACTACAGGGCACTTCTACCCCCTTCCTGCCTACAGGGCACTTTACCCCCTTCCTGCCTACAGGACACTTCTACCCCCTTCCTGCCCACCGGGCACTTCTACCCCCTTCCTGCCTACAGGACACTTCTACCCCCTTCCTGCCTACCGGGCACTTCTACCCCCTTCCTGCCTACAGGGCACTTCTACCCCCCTTCCTGCCTACAGGGCACTTCTACCCCCTTCCTGCCTACAGTACACTTCTACCCCCTTCCTGCCTACCGGGCACTTCTACCCCCTTCCTGCCTACAGGGTACTTCTACCCCCTTCCTGCCTACCGGACACTTCTACCCCCTTCCTGCCTACAGGGCACTTCTACTCCCTTCCTGCCTACCGGGCACTTCTACCCCCTTCCTGCCTACAGGGTACTTCTACCCCCTTCCTGCCTACAGGGCACTTCTACCCCCTTCCTGCCTACAGGACACTTCTACCCCCTTCCTGCCTACCGGGCACTTCTACCCCCTTCCTGCCTACAGGGCGCTTCTACCCCCTTCCTGCCTACAGGGCGCTTCTACCCCCTTCCTGCCCACCGGACACTTCTACCCCCTTCCTGCCTACAGGACACTTCTACCCCCTTCCTGCCTACAGGACACTTCTACCCCCTTCCTGCCTACAGGGCACTTCTACCCCCTTCCTGCCTACAGGGCACTTCTACCCCCTTCCTGGCATTTCCAGCATTTCCGTGTTTACATGTGATCAGCTGTGATTGGACACAGCTGATCACATGACCGAGCCGACATCTTCGGCTCTTTCCGTGATGACACAGCGGACCTGCGATCGCCACGCTGCACGCTCCCTGAGCCGCGCATGCGCAGTGAGAATCGTAGGAAGTCATATGACGTCCTATCAGGTCATTGGACTATAGGGCGGGTGGAAGGTGGTTAAACATACCTTTTGCAGCTTAAATATTGATATTTGCACTGAAAACGGTCATTTTGTGTATTTTTTAAAAAATGTCAGAACAAAAATATATTTGGCTCTGTCAGTAAATTCCATGCATAGTGTCAGTAAAAAAATCTGTGCTGTCAGTAAAGTTTTGGCAGTAAATTTCACTCCTGGAGGTTGGCAACACTGTAGAGGCATCTTGGTAAGAGGAGATACAATGTAACAATTCTAGAGAGCTTCAACCCCCGCGTCTCCCGGCCCTTTAAGGGCTTTTAGATGGCGGGAGGTGGGGGTTGTGATCATGTGATCGCTGTGATTGGCTGTCACGGTGGTCACATGATCAGAAAGCTCTCGATCGCAAGTAGAGATCAGGAGCTTTCAGGTAACTGTGGCAGGAGCGAGCACCGTGTGTGCGATCGGCTCAGGTCTTTTGGGGTTTTTTGGGTTCGCATATATGCAGCTTTTCGGCTGTAAAGGTGCCGGGAATGAGCACAAGATTCACGTGTTCCTCCCTTCAGACAAACCACATGTTGCCGCGCCGCAACTTCTTCTCCTATTTTCATTGATCCCCTATTTCCATTCTATCGATCCTCTATTTATATTGATCCCCTATTTATATTCACATCTCCTATTTCTATCAATCCCCTATTTCCACTGATTCCCTATTCCTATTGATCTCCTATGTCTATTGATCTCCTATTCCCATCAACCCCCTATTAAGATTGATTCCCTATTTCTATTGATCCCCTATTTCCATCGATCTCCCATTAGGATCGATCCTCTTTTTCTCTTGATCCCCTATTTCTATTGTCCTCCTATTTCCATGAATCTCCTATTTCTATTGATTTCCTATTGGTCCCCTATTTCTATTGATCTCTTATTTCTATCAATCCCCTATTTTCATCGATCCCCTATTCCTACTGATCTCCTATTTCTCTTGATCCCTTATTTCTATTGATCCCCTATTTCTATTGATCCCCTATTTCTCTTGATCCCTTATTTCCATCGATCCCCTATTTCTATTGATTTCCTATTTCTATCAATCCCTTATTCCTATTGATCCCTTATTCCTATTGATCTCCTATGTCTATTGATTGCCTATTTCCATCGATCCCCTATTTCTATTGATTTCCTATTTCTATCAATCCCCTATTCCTATTGATCCCTTATTCCTATTGATCTCCTATGTCTATTGATTGCCTATTTCTATCAATCCCCTATTCCTATTGATCCCCTATTCCTATTGATTGCCTATTTCCATCAATCCCCTATTTCTATTGATTTCCTATTTCTATCAGTCCCCTATTCCTATTGATCTCCTATGTCTATTGATTGCCTATTTCCATCGATCCCCTATTTCTATTGATTTCCTATTTCTATCAATCCCCTATTCCTATTGATCTCCTATGTCTATTGATTTCCTATTTCTATCAATCCCCTATTCCTATTGATCCCTTATTCCTATTGATCCCCTATTCCTATTGATTGCCTATTTCCATCAATCCCCTATTTCTGTTGATCTCTTATTTCCATCGATCTCCTATTACTATTGATTTCCTATGTCTATCAATCCCCTATTTCTATTGATCCCCTATTCCTAATGATCTCTTATTTGCATCGATCCCCTACTTCTATTGATCCCCTATTCCTATTGATATCCTATGTCTGTTGATCTCCTACTTCCATCAATCCACTATTTCTGTTGATCTCCTATTTCCATGGATCCCCTATTATTATTGATTCCCTATTTCTATTGATCACTTATTTCTATTGATCCCCTATTTCTATTGATCTCCTATTTCCATCGATCTCCTATTTGGTTCGATCTTCTATTTCTCTCAATCCCCTATTTCTATTGACCTCCTATTTCCATGAATCCCCTATCTCTATTGATTCTCTATTGATCCCCTATTTCTATTGATCCCCTATTTCCATTGATCCCCTATTTCTAATGATCCCCTATTTCTATCGATCCCCTATTTCTATTGATCTCGTAATTCTATCGATCCCCTATTTCTATTGATCCCCTATACCTATTGATCCCCTATTTCTATCGATCCCCTATTTCTATTGATCTCCCATTCCTAATGATCCCCTATTTCTATCGATCCCCTATTTCTATTGATCTCGTAATTTAATCGATCCCATATTTCCACTGATCCTCTATTTCTATTGATCTCCCATTCCTAATGATCCCATATTTCTATTGATCTCGTAATGTTATCGATCCCATAATTCCACTGATCCCCTATTGAGGTGACAGGCAGATGGATGGGTGAGGATTGTTTGACATGTATTGTGATCCTGAAGACCAGATTCCCGATTCCTGAGATATATTATTTATATAAATGGATCTGGACATCTCCCATTGTACTGTTATAGAAATGTGTTCCGAACCGATACAAATCCTGAGGCTGCTGTTCATAAAGTACAGAGTGGAGAAGAAAAGTCGTCCGAATGGAGCGCTCGCCGGTCCCACAGACTATCCAGGAATTGGAGCTCATTCACACTGTAGGTTCACCTTTCAGGAAGATTTTCAGAAAATCTTCGTATAACGTTCTCCATCCAATCAATACTACATACCATACCGCCTCCTCATGGATATGGTGAAGGCCCTCTCCTTACAGATGTGGCTGTTGGGGGTCCCCTGCAGTAAAATCACCGGCCCCTCATTTCTCTCTGTCCTGCCGTTTGCAGCATGGACTGAATTTTACAATAATGCCCCCCCCCCCCCCCCCAGAGGCTGCTGCGGGGCATTCAAATGGCATAGTGAAGCTCTGCACAGCAATCCTGCAAGCTCCTCCAACCAGCCATGATCTGCCTGCATTGTGTAGAGAAGCACAGAGTCCCAGTGATAACATCACTAGGTCAAAAATAAAGAATTAACTGAAAATAGAAAGGTTTTAATAAACAAATATGCTAATGAGGGGAGAGAGGGAACAAGGGAAGGCAAAATGTAAGCCAATTAAACTTCAGCTTTAATTGCTACATTTACCTTTTTTTTAGAAAACAACAAAGTAACTCTATATATATACAGTATATATATAGCTAATAGATACACAGGGCACTGCATGTGTGATCACCTGTTATACATGAGACGCTTGAAGTCCTGGAATAAGGTGTGTCCTTGTTTTTATCCAGAAACCCTTCCACCGAATAGCTGGAAATAATAAGAGATTCGATTGTTACTAAGACAACGATTAGTGACACCGCTACTGACACCTTTACTGACACCTCTACTGATACTGCTACTGACATCTCTATTGACCCCTTTACTGATACTACTACTGTCCCCTTTACTGACACCTTTACTGACACCACTACCGATACCTCTACTGACCCCTATACTGCCTCCTCTACGGACACCTTTACTGTACCTTTTACTGACACCACTACTGACCCCTTTACTGCCTCCTCTACGGACACCTTTACTATACCTTTTACTGACACCACTACTAATCCCTTTACTGAAACCTCTACTGACCTCTTTACTGACACCTCTACTGACACCACTACTGACCTCTTTACTGACATCACTACTGACCCCCTTTACTGATCCCTTTACTACACCTCTACTGACCCCTTTACTGACAACACTACTGACCTCTTTACTGACACCTCTACTGACACAGCTAATAACCCCTTTACTGACACCCATACTGATACCATTACTGACCCCTTTACTGCCACACCTTCTGCCACCTCTACTGCTACTAACACCTCTACTGACACCTCTCCTGACCCTGTATTTGACACTTTTACTGACACCTCTGCAAACACCTTTACTGATACCTCTACCAACACCTCTTACTGTAACCTCTACTGAACCCATGATGACACCTATATAGACCCTTTACTGACACATCTACCAAACCTATGATAACACCTCTATCGACACCTCTATGGACCCTTTACTGACTCTTCTATTGAAACCTGTGTCGATACCTCTACTGACATCTTTACTGCCACTTCTACCAAAATCTCTACTGACACCTCTACCAATACATCAATACAATACATCTACCGAGATATCTCCATCAACACCAATACCAACACATCAACTGACACCTCCATCAACACCTCTACCAACTTGTCTACTGACACCTCCATCAATACCTCTACTAACACGTCTACTGACGCCTCAACACCTCTACTAACACATCTACTGACAACTCCCTCAACACCTCTACCAACACGTCTAATGACACCTGCACCAACACCTCTACTAACACGTCTACTGACACCTCCACCAACACCTCTACTAACACGTCTACTGACACCTCCACCAACACCTCTACTAACACGTCTACTGAAACCTCTCTCAACACCTCTACCAACACACCTACTGACACCTCCCTCAACACCTCTACTAACACGTCTACTGACACCTCCACCAACACCCCTACTAACACATCTACTGACACCTCCATCAAAACCTCTAACAACATGTCTACTGACGCATCAACACCTCTACTAACACATCTACTGACACCTCCACCAACACCTCCACCAACACCTCTACTGAAACCTCCCTCAACACCTCTACCAACACACCTACTGACACCTCCCTCAACACCTCCACCAACACCTCTACTGAAACCTCCCTCAACACCTCTACCAACACACCTACTGACACCTCCCTCAACACCTCTACTAACACGTCTACTGACACCAACACCCCTACTAACACGTCTACTGACACCTCCCTCAACACCTCTACCAACACGTCTACTGACGCCTCAACACCTCTACTAACATGTCTACTGACACCTCCACCAACACCTCTACTAATACGTCTACTGAAACCTCCCTCAACACCTCTACCAACACACCTACTGACACCTCCCTCAACACTTCTACCAATACGTCTACTGACACCTCCACCAACACCTCTACTAACACGTCTACTGACACCTCCACCAACACCTCTACTAACACATCTACTGACACCTACATCAACACTTCTACTAACACGTCTACTTACACCTCCACCAACACCTCTACTAACACGTCTACTGACACCTCCCTCAACACCTCCACCAACAGGTCTACTGACACCTCCATCAACACCTCTACTAACACGTCTACTGACACCTCCACCAACACCTCCACCAAACAGGTCTCTACTGACACCTCCACAACACCTCTACTAACATGTCTATTGACACCTCCCTCAACACCTCCACCAACAGGTCTACTGACACCTCCACCAACACCTCTACTAACATGTCTACTGACACCTCCCTCAACACTTCTACTAACACGTCTACTGACACCTCCACCAACACCTCTACTGACACCTCCCTCAACACCTCTACTAACACGTCTACTGACACCTCCCTCAACACCTCTACTAACACATCTACTGACACCTCCATCAACACCTCTATCAAGATGTCTACTGACGCCTCAACACCTCTACTAACACATCTACTGACACCTCCACCAACACCTCTACTAACACGTCTACTGACACCTCCCCCAACACCTCTACCAACACCTCTACTAACACCTGTACTGACACCTCTACTGACATATCACTGTATTTGTACTTACGTCACATTGCCAGCATAGTGCTTTATCCGGAAGTCCCGGTTAAACGCCATGGACTTGTCTGTCGGAGAGCTAGAAAACAGGGTAACAAAGAGGTCATCCATGTCTCAGATTAAAGGGGACGTTCCACCTCCCCACATAAAATCTTGCCTGAATGTCTTTTCTACTGTTTAACGCTGAATAAACGTACCAGACCAGAGAATCCAGCGTTGTTCTCTTCTAGTCCACCACTTTGCAGCTGCACGCCCGGGCCCACGCCGCCAACCTTCTTCTCATATCATCAGAAGATGGCCGTCTCTTCCAGGTTCTTGTAGCAGCCCCAACCCCGATGATGCGGCACCAGATCTCACACATGCATAGGAAGAGGTCCAGTGGTGCAATGTTCAGTTTAGAGAGTGGGATTTTGAACATTTACGTGAAAAATTAAATGTTGCTTTTTTAATGTAAGAAAAATATACCCTATGGTGCCGCTCCAAGCTATGGATGGAAGGAAAAGGTTCACCCCACCGGCAGGTGAGAAGAGGATGAGTCCGAGCAATTCCAGTGTCGGCCAACACGAGTGAAGGGATGGACGCTGCTTAACCGACCCAAGGAGTCCAATGTTAAGGAATGGGCACAGCTGTTTTACTGGCCACGCCCTCTGATGCATTTTGCCCCGCTCACTGGGGCTTGGTCACAGAGGTCCCTCTGTGACAAAGCCCTGGTGGTTGGAGCAAAACACATCAGGGAGCATGGCCAGCACGACTACTGAGGCCATTCCTCAACATTGGACTCTTGGGGTCAGTTAAGCAGCGTCCATCCCTTCACTTGTGTTGGCCGACACTGGAATTACTTGGACTCATCCTCTTCTCACTTGCCGGTGGGGTGATCCTTTTCCTTCCATCCATACCTTGGAGCGGCACCATAGGGTATATTTTTCTTACATTAAAAAAGCAACATTTCATTTTTCACAGAAATGTTCAAAATCCCGCTCTCTAAACTGAACATTGCACCACTGTACCTCCTCCTGTGCATGTGTGAGATCTGGTGCCGCATCATCGGGGTTGGGGCTGCTACAAGAACCTGGAAGAGACGGCCATCTTCTGATGATAGTAGAAGAAGGTTGGAGGCCATTGCTCAACATTGGACTCTTGGGGTTGGTTAAGCAGCGTCCATCCCTTCACTCGTGTTGCCTATTTCATGGAGGAGGTAGGACATATATGAGAAATTATTTTATTTTTGCTGGATCCATACTCCATATTTTAAATTTTAAAGGCTAATGCTCCAAATATGAGCATAGACCAGACGATGTCCACTACATTTTTTACCCCCCTCCCTCCCAAAATCCCATCTCACCTGGTCCCCTGCTCGAGAAATGTGATTATCAATTTTTTGTCCTGCACACTTCCAGAAGAATGTTCTCCTGGAACCACGGCTCTTGAAGGAACCGATAAGTACAATGTCTCTACTTTACAGAGGTAATCTTTCTGCAAATGTTTAAGTTTTGTGACAGGGTCACGTTATTACACGACAAATGATTCTCAGAGCACTATGGGTTAGCAAAGAAGAATGAACCTCAGAGCAGCTTGCTTTGAGGCTCTGTTTTCTGACTGAATCTGAGGACAAAGCCATCTGATAAGGATGAGGTTCCCGCTTTCAGAATTCATTTAGTTCTTTTTCTGCACAGCTGAGAATAACGTAGGGCTAGACGTGTGAAATGGAGACAACAGCACCACCTGCTGGCTCAAAGGAAAACATGTACAAAGCCATTCCCTTTAGGTTCTGATCATCAAGGGAAGACATTTTACCAGAGGCGTCCCTAGGGTTGGTGTCACCCGGTGCGATAACACTTGGTGACACCCCCTCCGACGATCCCCGCAGGATGGATTGGTGTCACCCGATGCGATAACACTTGGTGACACCCCCTCCTACGATAGCCGCAGAATGGATAGGATCTGCGGATTGAGCATAATGGATCGTCGGCTTGCTTTACAACTTACCTTTCGGTGGAGCGGATCCGGTGTCACCCTGTGCGGGAGGTGTCACCCGATGCGGCGTGCACCACCCTCACTTGCCTCGGGACGCCACTGCATTTTACTACACACAATATTTAGATGGGAGCCCCCCTAACCAGGCAGTGCAGGCTACTCTCCATAAATCTGGCAGGAGTGGTTGTTGGATTTCTCTATGTCCGTGGAATCGACACCAGGGGCGGACTGACCATTCGAGAACTCGGGCACTGCCTGAGGGCCCGGGGTCAGTAGGAGGCCCCATAAAATGCTTCTGGTACCTTTTTATAGGCTTTTTTGGGTGTGTGTTGAGTGTGGGCAAGGACACAGGGGCCCCATGATTCCCAATTGCTCGGGAGCCCCATGAGTTGTCAGTCCGCCCCTGATCGACACTATAGGCAGCGGTGAGACCTCACCTTCCTGCTGCTGTAATGAGGGTGCTTCCCCAGTTTGCTGTTCATGGACTCCAGGAAAATGGTGTCGGTGACATCGCCCACCGTCAGACATGCTTCATCCAAGATGGAGATCATCCCTTTATGTGGCTGCTCCACCAGATCCACAATGATCTGATTGTTGAAGTACTCAATCTAATGGAGATCAGAAGGAGGGAACATCAAAAAAGTTTTCATCATTAAAAGGTATTTAACATTTTTGATACATTGGGTAAGGCTCCAAACTTCTTTAATTCATTTTTTTTTTGGGGGGGGGGGTCCTGTATGCCTGTTGGGGAGTCACTCTTTGTTTTTATGATGACTGTTATAAAAAAAAAAACATTTTTAATATGTTTTACCAATGGCAGCATTGACGATATTATGGTGGTTTTATTCTATTGGGTTTTCTTTAACCACTTCCAGTCCGGACACTTTCACCCCCCTTCCAGTCCGGACACTTTCACCCCCTTCCAGTCCGGACACTTTCCCCCCCTTCCAGTCCGGACACTTTCATCCTCTTCCAGTCCGGACACTTTCCCCCCCCTTCCAGTCCGGACACTTTCCCCCCCCTTCCAGTCCGTACACTTTCCCCCCCTTCCAGTCTGGACACTTTCCCCCCCTTCCAGTCCGGACACTTTCACCCCCTTCCAGTCTGGACACTTTCCCCCCCTTCCAGTCTGGAGACTTTCACCCCCTTCCAGTCCGGACACTTTCCCCCCCCTTCCAGTCCGGACACTTTCCCCCCTTCCAGTCCGGATACTTTCCCCCCCCTTCCAGTCCGGACACTTTCCCCCCCCTTCCATTCTGGACACTTTCACACCTTTCCAGTCGGGACACTTTCACCCCTTCCAGTCCGGACACTTTCACCTCCTTCCAGTCCGGACACTTTCACCCCCTTCCAGTCCGGACACTTTCACACCTTTCCAATCGGGACACTTTCACCCCTTCCAGTCCGGACACTTTCACCTCCTTCCAGTCCGGACACTTTCACCCCCTTCCAGTCCGGACACTTTCACACCTTTCCAATCGGGACACTTTCACCCCTTCCAGTCCGGACACTTTCACCCCCTTCCATTCTGGACACTTTCACCTCCTTCCAGTCCGGACACTTTCCCCCCCTTCCAGTCCGGACACTTTCACCCCCTTCCAGTCCGGACACTTTCACCCCCTTCCAGTCCGGACACTTTCACCCCGTTCCAGTCCGGACACTTTCACCCCGTTCCAGTCCGGACACTTTCACCCCCGTTCCAGTCTGGACACTTTCACCCCGTTCCAGTCGGGACACTTTCACCCCTTTCCAGTCCGGACACTTTCCCCCCCCCCCTTTCGGTCCGGACACTTTCACCCCCCCTCCAGTCCAGACACTTTCACCCCCTTCCAGCCTGGACACTTTCACCCCCTCTTTTTTTGTGTCCCTGTACAGTATTTATGCCTTTAAAGTGCACATTATAAAGAGTTTTGAACAGATAAAATACTTTTTTTTTTTTTAACTTTTTCCTGACCTCCGTAACGGATTAATTGGATTTCAATGCATTCCTATGGGAAACAGCGTTTCGGTTTACAAATTTTTTGCAATAAAAATGTATTTTTGCAAAATAAATTGTTCCAAAATACCAGAAATGAAGGTCTCCTGTAAGTGTTAATGGGATGCTTGTACAAATTCTTAAAGGATTGATGAATATGTAAAATGTTCGTATTTTGGGGTGGGTTGCGCCTTTAAGGATCCATTCGCATTGGTTCAATGGTTTATTTTCACGAGGCGCCATTTCAGGTGCATTTATTTTTAGGAGGCAGATCAAAGCCACGTGTTAGCAGAACATAAAGTGTATGGCTGAGACTTACATGCTGCCACTCGATGCCCTCCCGCTGGTACTCGTCCTGTTCTTGGCGCAGGATCAGTTCGATGAACAGCTGCTGCAGCTTCTCGTTGCAGTAATTGATACAGAACTGCTCAAAGCTGCGGACAGACAGACAGACACCAGGAGTTTGTTACGGAGACATTCATCCTCATTTACTAAGGTGCAATCAGAAAACATCCATGAGGCATGAGAAATCCATCCAGCCGAGACACAGCCGGCATTCTCTGAGCAGTTAGGGGGTCATTTCTCAGGGACCCCCACAAATAACTGATTAGTGTCGAGTAGTTGTTAGTATTAGTAATTGATCTGAGCCCAAAGAAATACACTATATTGCCAAAAGTATTGGGCCGCCGCCCTTTCCACACACATGACCTTTAATGGCCTCCCAGTCTTAGTCCGTAGGGTTCAATATTGAGTTAGCCCCGCCCTTTCCACACACATGACCTTTAATGGCCTCCCAGTCTTAGTCCGTAGGGTTCAATATTGAGTTGGCCCCGCCCTTTCCACACACATGACCTTTAATGGCCTCCCAGTCTTAGTCCGTAGGGTTCAATATTGAGTTGGCCCCGCCCTTTCCACACACATGACCTTTAATGGCCTCCCAGTCTTAGTCCGTAGGGTTCAATATTGAGTTGGCTCCGCCCTTCCCACGCACATGACCTGTAATGGCCCCCCCAGTCTTAGTCCGTAGGGTTCAATATTGAGTTGGCCCCGCCCTTTCCACGCACATGACCTTTAATGGCCCCCCAGTCTTAGTCCGTAGGGTTCAATATTGAGTTGGCCCCGCCCTTTGCAGCTATAACAGCTTCAACTCTTCTGGGAAGGCCGTCCACAAGGTTTAGGAGGGTGTCTATGGGAGGTTGGACCATTCTTCCAGAAGCACATTTGTCAGGTCAGGCACTGATGTCGGGGGAGGAGGCCTGGCTCACAGTCTCCAATCTAATTCATCCCAAAGGTGTTCTATGGGGTTGAGGTCAGGACTCTGTGCAGGACAGTCAAGTTCCTCCACCCCAAACTGGCTCCTCCATGTCTTTATGGACCTTGCTTTGTGCACTGGTGGGCAGTCATGTTGGAACAGGAAGGGGCCATCCCCAAACTCTTCCCACAAAGTTTGGAGCATGAAATTGTCCAAAATGTCACCTTAAGAGTTCCCTTCCCTGGAACTAGGGGGCCAAGCCCAACCCCTGAAAAAACAACCCCACGCCATAATCCCCCCTCCACCAAACTTTACACTTGGCACAATGCAGTCAGGCAAGTACTGTTCTTCTGGCAACTGCCAAACCCAGACACGTCCATCGGATTGCCAGACAGAGAAGCGTGATTGGTCACTCCAGAGAACACGTCTCCCCTGCTCTAGAGTCCAGTGGCGGCGTGCTTTACACCACGGCATCCACTGCTTTACATTGCACTTGGTGATGTAAGGCTTGGATGCAGCTGCTCGGCCATGGAAACCCATTCCATGAAGCTCTCTACGCACTGTTGTTGGGCTCATCTGAAGGCCACACCAAGTTTGGAGGTCTTTAGCTATTGACTCTGCAGACAGTTGGCGACTTCTGCGCACTGTGCGCTTCAGCATGGGCTGACCCCGCCCTGTCATGTGACGTGGCCTACCACTTGGTGGCTGAGTGGCTGTTGTTCCCAGTTGCTTCCACTTTGTTATAATCCCACTAACAGTTGAGCGTGGAATATTTAGTAGCCAGGAAATGTCACGGATGGACTTATTGCCCAGGTGGCCACCTATCACGGGACCACGCTTGGAGTCACTGAGCTCCCGAGAGCGACCCATTCTTTCACCAATGTTTATAGAAGCAGTCTGCATGCCTAGGGGCTTGATTGTATACACCTGTGTCCATGGAGGGGATTGGAGCACCTGAATCACATGATATGGAGGGTATTGGAACACCTGAATCACATGATATGGAGGGGATTGGAACATCTGAATCACATGATTGGGAGGGGATTGGAACACTGGAATCACATGATTGGGAGGGGATTGGAACACCTGAATCACATGATTGGGAGGGCATTGGAACACCTGAATCACATGATTGGGAGGGGATTGGAACACCTGAATCACATGATTGGGAGGGCATTGGAACACCTGAATCACATGATTGGGAGGGCATTGGAACACCTGAATCACATGATTGGGAGGGCATTGGAACGCCTGAATCACATGATTGGAAGGGGATTGGAACACCTGAATCACATGATTGGGAGGGGATTGAAACACCTGAATCACATGATTGGGATATAGTGGATTGAAACACCTGAATCACATGATTGGGAGGGGATTGAAACACCTGAATCACATGATATGGAGGGGATTGGAACATCTGAATAACATGATATGGAGGGGATTGGAACATCTGAATCACATGATTGGGAGGGGATTGGAACACTGGAATCACATGATTGGGAGGGCATGGGAACACCTGAATCACATGATTGGGAGGGGATTGGAACACCTGAATCACATGATTGGGAGGGGATTGGAACACCTGAATCACATGATTGGGAGGGGATTGAAACACCTGAATCACATGATTGGGAGGGCGGGGACAATACTTTTGGCAATACAGTATAGATTGTACTAAGGGGAGAACAAAACACGGGGCAAACCTGCAGGCCCTCTTTGTCAAACTAAAGGAAAGAGATGAGAGGAAAAGAAAGGAGAGAAGGAGAGAAAGAAAAGCAAAGGAAATTAAATGAAAGAAAAGCAACATAAAAGTGAGGAGAGGAACAGAGAAAAGAAGAAGCGGGAATGAGAAGAAAAGCAAAGGAGAATGAAGGAAATGGGAAAAAGATAAGGTATGTAAAAAAAAGGGAACGGAAAAACTCCATCCAAGTTGTGTTAGGAACTTAGGAAAGGAGAGGCAAAGAAGGGAGAGAAAAAAGGGAACAGAACAGAAAAAATACATGTGGGAAGAGAAAAGGAGAAGAGGAAAAAGAAGGGAACATAAAGGAGAGGAGAGAGAAAGAAGAGGAGAGGAAAGGAGAGGGAGGGGGAGAGGAAAGGAGAGGAAAGGGGAGGAGGGGAGAGGAGAGGAGAGAAAAGGAAAAGGAAATGAGACGAGAGGGAAAGGAAAGGAGAGGAGGGGAGAGGGAAAAGAGAGGAGAGGGGAACGGAGAGGGGAGGAGAGGGGAACAGTGAAGAGGGAAAGAAAAGGAGAAGATAGAGAAAGGAAAGAAGAGTAAAAGGGGGAAGAGGAAGGGAAAGGGAGGGGAGGGGAGAGGAAAAATGAAAGCATAGGAGAGGGAGAAAAGAGGAGTGGAGAGAAAAGGAAATGAGAGGAGAGGGAAAGGAATGGAGAGGGTAAAGGTGAGGAGAGGAGAGGGAAAGAAAAGGAGAGAAGGGGGTAAAGGAGAGGGGAGGAGACGGGAAGAAAAGGAGAGGGAAAGAAAAGGAGAGAATAGAAAAAGGAAAGAAGAGGAAAGGGGAGGAGAGGAAAACGAAAGGATAGGAGAGGAGAGGAGAGGAGAGGAGTGGAGAGAAAAGGAAATGAGAGGAGAGGGAAAGGAAAGGAGGAGAGGGAAAGAAAAGGAGAGGAGGGGACAGAGAAAAGGAGAGGAGAGGGAAAGGAGAGGAGAGGGGAAAGGAGAAGGGATGAGAGGAGAGTGGAAGAAAAGGAGAGGATCAGATAGGGAAAAAAGAGGATAGAGAAAGGAAAGAAGAGGAAAGGGAAGGAGAGGAGAGGGAGAGGAAGAGAGGAGAGGGAGAGGAGGAGGAGAGGGAAACAAAAGGATAGGAAAGGGAGAGGAGAGGGGAAGAAAAGGATAGGAGAGAGAAAGGATAGGAGAGGGAGAGGAGATGAGAGGGAAACAAAAGGATAGGAGAGGGAGAGGAGAGGGGAAGAAAAAGATAGAAGAGGGAGGGGAGAGGAGAGGAGAGGGAAAGGAAAGGATAAGAGAGGGAAAGGATAGGAGAGGGAGAGGAGATGAGAGGGAAACAAAAGGATAGGAGAGGGAGAGGAGAGGGAGAGGAGAGGGGAAGAAAAGGATAGGAGAGGGAGAGGAGATGGAAACAAAAGGATAGGAGAGGGAGAGGAGAGGGAGAGGAGAGGGGGGAAAAGAAAAGGATAGGAGAGGGAGAGGAGAGGGAGAGGAGAGGGGAAGAAAAGGATAGGAGAGGGAGAGGAGAGGAGAGGAGATGGAAACAAAAGGATAGGAGAGGGAGAGGGAGAGGGAGCGGAGAGGGGAAGAAAAGGATAGGAGAGGGAGAGGAGAGGAGAGGAGATGGAAACAAAAGGATAGGAGAGGGAGAGGAAAGGAGAGGGAAAGGAAAGGATAGGAGAGGGAAATGAAAGGAGAGGAGAGGGAAAGGAGAGAGATTGTGTGCATTTTTTTGCCCAAATCAGTGTTGCACAATACTTTTAATACGAGGCTTCAGTAATGAAGTCTCTCTAACAGAAATAAGACATCTGCCTCTGCCCTCACAGAGGAGTCTCACTTCTTTAGTTGCATTATCTGTACAGTAAAATAAAGAAAGGAAAAATATTGGGATCCCGTCATTTAGGGTACAGCGAGTGGAGGGAGTGGAAATTGAAGTCCTCAAGAAATATAAAAATTAAATCAGCCTGAGGTGAAGAGGTTGGATGTCCAGCATCTTCCAGCCCTTTTCTCTGAATGGATCTGTTAGTCCATCCAGATTGCACCGAGTGCCTGCACCGTGCATGGAGTGTCTGCACACCGTGCCGTCCCGCCCACTCACACCTCATTGTTCCTGATTTCTTATTATTCCTTCCCTCCACATCTGGGTCAGGTGACAACAACGACATAGAACATGTTATGTGACACGTGAGCTGCTGGCACGAGGAGGCAGGGAACACGTGTAAGAAAATCAACACATTTATCTGCCTTTCCCCCTCTGTGATCCATTATCTGCTGCAGAATTCTGACTGTGCCGACATAGAAGAGAGCTGTGACTCATCGCCGGTGTGTGTGTGCTCACATCCAACCCTTCCTCGCTCACATCCAACCCTTCCTCGCTCACATCCAACCCTTCCTCGCTCACATCCAACCCTTCCTCGCTCACATCCAACCCTTCCTCGCTCACATCCAACCCTTCCTCGCTCACAACCTCCGATCCTCGCCATACAAACGCTCCATTCTCCACCCTAACATATCTTATTACTGTTAGCCTCTATACCTCCTGTATCCTCAATGTCACCCTCCTAGATTGTAAGCTCTTCTACCTCCTGTATCCTCAATGTCACCCTCCTAGATTGTAAGCTCTTCTACCTCCTGTATCCCCCATTATACCTTAATAGATTGTCAGCTCTTCTACCTTCTGTATCCCCCCTTATACCCCAATAGATTGTAAGCTCTTCTACCTTCTGTATCCTCCCTTATACCCTAATAGATTGTAAGCTCTTCTACCTCCTGTGTCCCCCCTTATACCCTAATAGATTGTAAGCTCTTCTACCTCCTGTATCCCCCCTTATACCCTAATAGATTGTAAGCTCTTCTACCTCCTGTATCCTCCCTTATACCCTAATAGAGTGTAAGCTCTTCTACCTCCTGTATCCTTCCTTATACCCTAATAGATTGTCAGCTCTTCTACCTCCTGTATCCCCCCTTATACCCTAATAGATTGTCAGCTCTTCTACCTCCTGTATCCCCCCTTATACCCTAATAGATTGTCAGCTCTTCTACCTCCTGTATCCCCCCTTATACCCTAATAGATTGTCAGCTCTTCTACCTTCTGTATCCTCCCTTATACGCTAATAGATTATTATTTTATTATTACATCGGGTTTATATAGCGCCAAAGGGTTTGCTCGGCGCTGTACAATAGGGGGGACAATACATGGCACAGTACAACAACAACAAACAACGTACGAGGGGTAAGAGGGCCCTACTCTTACGAGCTTACAATCTAGGAGGGAGGGGGTAATGGTACAGTAGGAAGTGGCTGAGGGGAATGAAGTGGTGGGAGGAATGAGGGAGAATGGCCGTTAGGTGAGGGTGGGGTAGGCTTCCCTGAAGAGATGGGTTTTGAGGGAGCGCCTGAATGTGAGGAGGGAAGGCGACAGTCTGATGGATTGGGGCAGTGAGTTCCAGAGGATGGGGGAGGACCTGGAGAAGTCCTGCAGTCGTGCATGGGAGGAGGAGACCAGGGAGCAGGATAGAAGGAGGTCCTGTGAGGAGCGAAGGGCACGGGTACGGGTAGGGTGGTACTTGGGGATCAGATTGGTGAGGTAGTCAGGGGCAGTGTTGTGAACGGCTTTGTAGGTCAGGGTTAGGAGTTTAAATTTGATGCATTGGGCAATCGGGAGCCAGTGGAGGGAGAGGCAGAGGGGGGTGGCAGAGGTGGAGCGGGTGGTGAGGTGGATGAGTCTAGCCGCTGAGTTCAGGATGGTCAGGAGCGGGGAGAGCCTGCACTGGGGTAGGCCAGTGAGAAGAGAGTTGCAGTAGTCAAGGCGTGAGATGATGAGGGAGTGTACGAGTAGTTTGGTGGTGTCTGGGGTGAGGAAGGTACGTATCTTGGCAATGTTGCGAAGATGGAGCCTGCATGTGTTTGTAAGTGATTTGACATGCGGTTGGAAGGAGAGGTTGGAGTCAAGAATGACGCCAAGGACTTTGGCTTGCGGGGCGGGGGGAGTGATAGTGGAGTTGTTGGTGATGATGGATAGGATGGGGGGGGGGGTGTTGGCAGGGGGAAAGATGAGGAGCTCGGTTTTGGAGAGGTTGAGCTTGAGGAAATGGAGCGACATCCAGTCTGAGATGTCATTTAGGAGGTGAGTGATGCGGGCGGAGATAGTGGGGGTGAGGAGAGGGGTGGAGAGGTAGATTTGGGTGTCGTCAGCGTAGAGGTGATAGTTGAAGCCGTGAGAGTGTATGAGTTTGCCCAGGGAGGAGGTGTAGATGGAGAAGAGAAGGGGTCCAAGGACAGAGCCTTGGGGGACCCCAACAGAGAGGGGGAGGGAGGGGAGAGTGGCACCATTGTAGGTGACACTGAAGGAGCGTCGGGATAGGTAGGATGAGAACCAAGAGAGAGCAGTATCTCTGATGCCAAGGGAGAGTAGTTTATTAAGGAGGAGGGGGTGGTCAACTGTGTCGAAGGCCGCGGAGAGGTCCAGGAGAAGGAGGACAGAGTAGCCGCCCCTGGCTTTGGCGTTTAGTAGGTCGTTAGTGATTTTGAGGAGGGCAGTTTCAGTGGAGTGTAGGGGACGGAAGCCGGACTGTAGAGGGTCAAGGAGGTTATTGTCTGTAAGGTGGGCGCTTAGGCGATCATAGACTATGCGTTCAAGGAGCTTGGAGGTGAGTGGCAGCAGGGAGATGGGTCTGAGGTTGTTGGGGTCCGCGGGATCCAGGGAGGGCTTTTTGAGGATGGGGGTGATATGCGCGTGCTTTAGGGGGGAGGGGAATACGCCAGTAGAGAGGGAGAGATTGAAGATGTGGGTGAGGGAGCGGATGAGGGAGGTGGGGGGTGACCGGAGGAGTTGAGAGGGGATAGGGTCCAGGGGGCAGGTAGTGAGGCGGGCTTCTGAGAGGACTTTGGCGACTTCCTCAGTAGTGACAGGGCTGAGGGAGTGCAGTGCGGGGGGGGGTTATGGTGGGCGGGG